GCTCTCATCGCCACCATCTGTGGGACAGAAAGGACTTTAAATAACTGAGGCTTGTTGGATTTACTTCCTCTGAGCAAACATGACTCTTATTTTTTGTGTCACCTTGAAGGTTTTGGATTTCCTCTCTTAACGTCTGGTTATCCTCCTCCAGCAGACAGATGTTGTACTGAAGCTCCTGCTTTTCTTGTCTGAGCGATACCACCTCATCCCTGAGCTCGACCTCTCTGGCTCTGGATAGCTGCACAGGATGCACATTTAGGTTTAATTATTCTCAATGTTATTATCTTTATTCCAGTCACTCAGATTTAAACCTCTAACATCCTACCTTGACTTCATTCTGCAGCTGCTGCAGCTGGTCGTTGTTGTGGTGCTGATTCTCCCTGAGCTGTCCAGAGCTTAGCACCAGCTCTCTGTAGAGGCTCTGCCACCTCAGTGCCTCTGCTTGGGCTGTTATAAGAGCTTCCTGTGGTCAAGATGTAAACAGGGTGACCTCAAGACAGTAAGTCAAGCACACAGATCAACGAAAACCAAATAACTTTAAATTGAACTTCACCTGCAGGGTCTCAGCCTGACAGAGAGCATCAGCTTTCTCCTGTGTAGCCTTCTGTAGAGCAACCAAGGCCTTCTCCTCATACATTCCCCTCTGCTTCTCCATCTGTAGCATCACTTTCTTCACTCCATCTTTGGGAAACTTCTGTAAAAATACAAGAGTGTTAGACTGAAGGATCATCATAAAATGCGATAAAAATAAAAAAAACTCATCCATTATAATCTGAGCAGTTTAGAACAAGGAAGGTGCATGTTTGCAGAAGTCATAAAGAGAACATCTTTGACTTAAAAAAAAAAAAATGCCAGGATGCATTTTTGTAACAGATCTCCCTGCTGCTTACCTGCAGGCAGACTTGCAGCTGTGCCTCCAGAACCTTGATCTTGTTTCGCAGAAGGTCTTCACTGAAGCGAGACTGTGTGGGTTAGAGAGGAAACGAGAGACTGTCACGCTTTAACCTGCAGATGTCAAATTAATGGTTCATGTAACACAACAGTTCATGGGCTCATCTAACAGGTGCACACACTCAACGAAAGGTCACAGCTTGAGCTGAAATTTTCAAAAATGATCACATACCTCTGGTAGAAACTACTTAAAACATGAATAACCTATTCTATTGATTCAGTAGTTCTGTCTAATGCATTGCAACTAGGGTATTCAGAAGCAAGCTACAGGGGATGCATTGCACCTATAGCAGTGACTGTCAGACGGCTACACCCTTCCTGTGAGAGAGCGTCAGCTTGCACTTGTCCTATAGATGAAAAACGGAAGCAGGAAGTTTGAAACCACAAGCTGCACAGGCCTTCCTGAGAAATTAGCCGCCAAACACTGCTTCTGCTGCTACTGATGGGTACAAAACTGTGACACATTTTAGCATAAACCAACTGAGCAACAAAAAGGATTCAAAACAAGACAATCATATGTGAGAAAGATAAACAAAACTGCAGCCCCAAAGGTAGAAGAAGCATCTTACCGTCCATAACACATCTGAGGAGTTCACGAGGTTTGTGGAGATCTCTGTCAGGACGGCCAGCTTCTTCTTCACGGTCTCCTCTCTCCACAGGGCTTCCTGAAAAAAGAAAGCAGACGGAAGAGTGATGAAACGCAAATTGAGCACAAACTTTTAGCCTATTGGTTTGCAGAGATCTGCTTTGAAAGAAAAACACAAAAACAGCCGAGGATGTGGTTTCATTTACCTGCAAGTAGTCCGATAATCTCTGAACATCCTACAGGGACAGAGATTAGACATACTCAAAACAGATCGAACATTTGAAAACGTAATAAGTAATACACTTGTTTTAAACTTTGAAAAACATTGCAGGGAAGCGACATTGTTTCCAGACACTAAAGTTCACTTTTAGGCTTTAGGCACACACATGCATCATGACAAAATATGACCACAAACAAGGCAATGCATGAAAAACATGACCAGTCATGATCAAATATAAACACAGTATGAGCAAAAAATGCAAACAGCAGCCGTTTGAAACTTACTGATTCTCTCACTGTGACAAAGCCAGACCTGTGAGAAGGTAAAAATACCATAATAAATAAAATACATGATCCTCCTTCCTTTAATGAAGATTTAAATGGAATAAAACTCACTCTGTTTGCACGCTGATCTCTTGAAGAGTCTTTTTCTCTGTTTGTACGGAGGACTTGGGGTGAATCGCTGCAGTCCTATTATCTGTTTTGGTTCTTCTGTTTGGAACTATAAGAAAGAGGAAACCCCCAACTTTTGTTAGCAGGAGAGATTAATCGTAGTTTTTTTTTTAAATAATGTATAAAAGTTTCTGTTTCTTTTACTTTTTATCTGGTTTTGGCTGGATTCTGTTGAGGAGGTAGATGTCTGTTTCCTTGCCTGAACCTTCTCCTGTTTTGTTACTGTTGTTGATTCTGTCCAAAGTGAAGCCTGAGAATAGAGGATGGATAAGGAGGAGGTATCTTTATATATTCACTTGTCATCTAAAAGTGTGGAGAAGGCTAACAAAATAGCCAAGAAACATTTACCCATTTGCTGGTGCTTGGATAATCGCTTCTTCTGCTTTCTGGTGTTAGAATCATTTCTGGATGTCCATCAGCAGAGGAGAACCTTTGTGTTTTTGTAGCCAGCTTCTCACATTTCCTCCTTGATCTGTAAAGTCTGTTCAGATACGACTCAGAAAAAGAATCTATATCTGTGGAACAGATAATGCACCCCGCGGTTCGTGGCTCTGGGCTCACTGATCTCCTCCTCAGAAACTCTCGCTGTCTCTTCTCTTTCAGCTGCTTTTTGACCCGGCTTGTGTCAAGGTGTCTGGTTGGGCTCCTGCACGAAGTCACGTTGTTGCGTCCACGTAAATACTCTCGTCTCTCTGTACGATAGTCAACCATCCTGTCAAATTCTCTTTCTTGGAACTGTCGTGTTCCGCTGAAATCCAGGAGGTCCATGGCAGCTCCTTGGGCTTCTTAAGCAGACCCAAAGCTGGAGAGAAATGACATGATGAGTTCAGAAAGTAAACACTTTTAAAGCTTTTTTAGCTGGTAGGGTAGATAAGAGTAGCCATGAAGGGTGAGGTCTTATAATGAAAGTAAAACTGTACATTTTATACTTCTAACAATTTAATGAGAAGACCTTTTTATTGTTAATTAGAAGAATATTGGTCAAAACCAGCAGCTCCACTCCAAGCTAGGTGTAAAGCGAAAGCTGACATGCAAGCTCAACAACGTGGACAAATTTTCTCTGTGAGGTATGCAGGATGACCCCACTTGAGAACTATCTGGCCAAAACGTACTACACAAGGAGCTTCTTTTAAATCTATTTCCACGGGTTTACATTAGAGACTCCTGCAGGCCCTTTCAACTGTTGATCACAGACGTGCAGGTGCAAGATAATCTAAAGCAACACAAATTACAACAGAATGTGCGTAAAAACTTTGCAGTTAGGCTCACCTTTTAGGCCATCTCATTCATTGGGGAAACCGTTTCAATGGAGGCCAAGAAGTCGTCCATTTTCTCCCTCTCCTCTAAGACAGCGCCCAGGTTTTAGTCTGTGTTTCACATGTAGCTGTTTCTGTTGAGTGTAAATTTTCAGGAAGTGAAGAGAACCACGGCGTCATATGTTCCTCTATCTCAGCAGCCACTCGCACCACACCGATGGCACACACGGGTGGGCCTCAAGATTACAGACCCAGACAGGCCAGACCACCTCCAATAAGGGACAGCAGACTGTTATAAAAACCCATCATTTCAACAGAGCAGCACTGAGCATGCAGACTTTTAGCTGAAGCTCTATGGAAGTATGCTAAGAACATTGCTCCACCTTTAACGATTACAGAGTGAAAACCTGACTTCACACCTCGCTGGTTCAGTAATTATGCAGGCAATATCATTAAAAAATTTAGCACAAACTATTAGATTAATCTTATACTCAACAGAAAAACTTTAATCTGATACATTTCTTTATTCATTTCTTTATTGTTTTATTATTGATTTAGAATGTAATATTTTGCAAAGGCATTGGTCAAAGATTTATGAGCAGACCCAAGTGCATGAAAACAAAAATTAATATAATATATCCCATTAAAAAATTCTGACTATGATAATAATTTTTATGAAACATTTCATACAAAGAATATGAATATAACATAAAAATAATACTTTATTGTTATATATTCGATATAGCTCTAAGCAAACTATGTGATATAAAATCATACAAAAATTGATCGAAAGTATAATAAAATAGGAAGTCAACTTACATTCATCTACTTTTGGTATTTCAGAACAACTTGCTTTGGGCAAGAGGTTACATTAATTAGTATTTTACTATTTTATTTTAAACAATCTATCAGGGATTCGACTCTAGCTGTAGCTCACCATTTACATACTTGAATTTCCTGAGCCCTTGAAAATAGTTTCCCCTCTTTAGACAGAATATTGTATTTTATCTTATAGCTGTTTATCTTAATATGTAAGCACTCACTACTTAAATATAAAAGTAAGCTAAATGTGTATATATATATATATATATATATATATATTGGTTGATGAATGTTACATTTTATACTGAACCAGCATATTATATTTCTGCAGGGTTTCACCACAACTCTCAATTTATTGTGTGGACATTTTAAAATCTTGCTATATATATATTTTTTTCATTATTATTTTTTTATTATTATTATTTAGGGGTTCTTACCTTCTCGTGGTTCTAGCTTATTTTGCTTAAATTTTTGTTTCAAAACCCCTTGATAATGGCGACTATTTTGTCTGATATTGATGTTAAAAATCCGTAATGATGTGTTGCTCCGGCCATGACCGTTTATTGCTGAGAAGACCTCAATATATTTCTGCAACTGAGGAAAACTTGTAAATGTTATTTAATAAAAGGCTGATTAAGGTATTTTTGCCAGTAGCGCCATCTCGCGGTTACCGTTTTAACGCCTTCAAGATAAATAACAGTTGTTCTGTAATCTCGCGATGTTTCCCAATTCTCTGTCATCCTTGTGGCTTTCAGAAGGGCACTGAGAGGCCGAAACAAGGTGCCCGGTGAAGTACAAAATCGGCACTTCATTCTTCCAAAATGCTATCCAGACTCGTTTTTCTGTCAGGTATTTGAAGGCTAACATTCTCCGTATCGCTGTAGTAAATAGATATTTTTTAGGCTACTTTCCTTTTTTTAAATTTACATTTGAAACTGACTGAATGTGAAGGGTAAACGGTAGGCCGCGCACTGAGTGCAACATGCTAATGCTAACAGCTAATGTTGAACATTTGTAGGTATTGCTAAGAATCTAGTTAATGCTAGCTTGTATGAATAGTTCTAAAATTCAATTTAACATTGCAAAATGTTTTGTCATCGCTGTCTTTATATAATTATGTTATCGGAATCAACAGCTCTTCACGGCGTGCTAATGTCATCCTATTTACAGCTCTAGTTTAAAGACTTTTTAAAGTGTTTATAATTATTTTTGTATTAGTTTACAACTTTTTAACATTGAATGCCTCAAATCTTATATACGTTTTTTAAGTAATTCGTGTTAAAAGGCCACTAGTGGTTTACTTCTGTGCCCATTTTGTTCATTATTTTATTTTGGCACTGTCTGTGTCAAGGTGAAACATTGACTAATGGATACTGATTAAAAAAAAACTATAATTTTATTGAAATATGATGTAAAATAAGAAGTAAGCATAACTTTGTACTAAGTCACCTTTTCCCCTCTGTTTCCAGCTGGCTCTCTGAAAGGCAGTGGCCCCATTGGAGCAGGGTTTGTATCCCTAACACTTTGCATTTTTCCCCACAATGTTTTAACACTTATCCAAGAGAAAATGCTGTAAATATGCTTGTGCGTACACTAAGGTGTAGTATCAGTTGAAAATGTTCTTATCATTGTTTGTTGTAGCAATTACCATCAATTAGATCTTAGTTGTTCTATATATTATTGTTGTTTTATAAGTTGAGATTTTAGCTCATATTTCCACAAGCATTGCCCACACAATGAATTGATTTGCTGGTGTCTTCTATGTCATGGTGTGCAGATGATCCCTCTGCAAAGCAGATTCAGATCCAGAGAGTCTTGATCAGTTCAATGCAGTCAGACCTCTGGCTTTCAATATTGGCACATGTCAGAGTGCTCTGTTGAATGTTGTCTTGTTACAACATTAAATTTTACCCATCAGTTGCTCACTACAGCATATGACCCAGTGTTTAGAAAATATGCATTCCTCCTTTTTTTTTTCCTACCCCAAGGATCTTTTAATCTTTGCATATTTCATGTCTTACTTCCAAGCCCAGACCATCATACTTTCACAAGTCCGACTTATATTAAACCCTTTTTTTGCTTCTATTTATAAGAAGTGCAGTTTTTATGTTTTATCCTCAGTAAAGTTATTTTTTAGCATTGAAAAGGACAGTTAATGTAATTTTAGTTTCTTAATACAACATTAAACAAGTCTCTTGTAGAATTTCTTCTTTTTTCACTTTAAGCCTTTGTTGGACAAACAGCTGTTGGATGCTAAAGAACTAACCTAAATAAGGCTAGAAGGATGAGTAAAGCAAATTGAAAAACATTTCAATTAGTTCTTTCCATTTTAGAAATGATGGAAACCCAGCATGTTTTAAAGTCTTGTCATTTGTGATTTGTTTTTATCAATTGAAAGCGATGGAGAAAAAAAAAGAAATCAATGAATCAGGTTTGGTGTGAAAATTTCAAATTTATTTTTAAGTCTTATTGTGCAGTCTTAAAAGAAATACTACACCCATAACGTTTTTAAAACGTACTAATCTTCCATTGTCTTTCAGTCTGGTCCAGGCGTCTCGCTCCTTCCAAACATCCTCCCAGAGTCTGGCCCCTGTGCCCCCTCTTCCAGAGAAGGGAGGTAAAGTCCGCCATGGCCTCATCCCAGAGGAGCTTTTCCAGCTCTTGTATCCAAAAACAGGAGTCACAGGTGGGTATTTTAGTTACACATTTTAAGGTTACATCTCCTTTACTGGGTTAAAAAAAAAAAAAAAAAAAGCTAAATTATTTTACTAAAATGAAACTGTTTTACAAACATGGCTTGTGAGACTTTTACAGGAGCGATTAAAAACTGCAGCTTGAATATTGTTCACTAGTTCCTGTTATTAACATCTTTATTTTTCCCCCCATCAGGACCATACATGCTAGGCACCGGGCTTCTAGTCTACATGCTTTCAAAGGAAATCTACGTCGTCAACCATGAGACCTTCGCCGCCGCCTCCATTGGTGCCGTCATCATTTATGGTGTCAAGAAATTCGGTCCAAGTGTTGCAGCTTTTGCTGACAAACTAAATGAGGTCCTTATATACTTGCATTTTACACATAGATAAATCCATATCTAGCTCTAGTCTCAATACAGAGACATGTTTAGTCACAGTAATGTAAGAATATACAACCATGAGTATCTGGTGCTACCGATGGAAGTTTGATTCTATGAGGAATTATAAAACGTTACACGATTCATTTAGTAATATAAAGGGTCTTGCTCTCCTCCGCCTTCCTCAGCCCAAAAATACCTCCTCTGCCGTTGTGTTGTTTACTTTTGCAGTTGTTACGTAAGCTACAGTTGCAGAAAACTATTTTTTATAGTTCTTGCCACCATGAGAGCAAGAAATAAATTATTTGCTCTTGTGAAGGGTGCAAAAAAGTAATGTACTTTAAACTAAAGAGAAGGGCCGATTGAAGGCTTTACCTGATGTATTTTATGGAGGTGTGTGGAAGAAGTGAGAGGTAGGGCTTAAACAATCAGAATAATCGTGATTAATCAATTATTGAAATAATTAACTAATTTAGTAATCGATTAATCATTAAATGGAATGTAGAGACTTTAAAACATACCTTTAGCATACAGAGCAACCCACTTACGCCTGGCATACACTGAGCAATATTTTCAATCGTTGTACAAACTGTACAACAAAACAACAGGGTTTAAAAGTTCACAGCTCTCGATGCATATTCTCCCACTGCACACCCCGACGCTCTGATGCAATCTGACGATGGCTGACTGAATTTCAAACATGTTTGATTTTCTCCCAGACCTTATGATTCCTGATCGGGAGTAGGTTGTGAGAGGCTGATCGTCCCTATTTACCCTCTAAACACTACTTGTCGCACGATGAGGCTGAAACTCGGCCTGATCGAAAAAATTCTTGCACAACTGGAGAATTGGTCAGAAAAGGGCAAAAAGTCGTGCGGTGTATGCCCAGCTTAAGGAGTTATTATACCAGAATTGTAAAAAAAAAACAAAAAAAAAACATTAACATTTTGCATTTAAGATAAAAATATTTTCATCTCTATGCTCTATCCAGAACTCCTCAAGTGGGAAAGTTTTAGGTTCGTCTGGTTTAGTTTCTTAAAAAATCTTCTTTAATGAACCTTTTGCTATCTGATGATTAATCGAAAAATAATTGACAGATCAATCGATTAGCAAAATAATTAGTTGAAGTTGAAAGGAAATACGTTTTAGAAGTTTCTTCTAAACATTTGCAGCAGTTGGAAGGATGGACTTGGAGGTTTGCTTATCGGGACTTTTGCCAATTCAGATTAAAATCTTAAATTTTTTAGACAGTTTGTTTTACATTTTGCACAGACTTAGTTTTATCTATGTGCATTTTTTGTACATTGTTAACATATTAATTGGTTTTGGGTTGTATAATAATGTAGTTATTTTTCATGTAGATATCCAGCCTTTTTTATTTTTTCCTATTCTAAGCGGTCCCAAACATTTAATCTTCTTCTATAGTTAACAGCGGCTCTGGTTTAGTGTTTTTCTGTCCTTTAGTCCCCAGTCTTTGTGTTTGTATCTGTTTCTTTAAAAGCTTGACAGGCATTTTTCTAATGTTCCTTTCAGGAAAAAGTGGCCAAGGCCCAGGAGGTGAAGGACATCGCCATGTCCAGCCTGGCTCAGGCTATCGAAGATGAAAAGAAGGAACAGTGGAGAGTGGAAGGAAGAGCGATGCTGTTTGACGCAAAGAGGGTACGCACTGTTTACCTGTGGTCCAATGGATTGTTTCACACGTTTACAGGAATTTTGGGACTGTATTTAGGATTTATTTAGAGAAATGGTTAAAAAAGGGATTTTACCCTGACGGTACTGACTTATACAATATTTGGATTCAGTTGCTGAATACTGAGGGTGTCCCGTCCGCTACTAATATCAGTAATTGTTCCCATATCAGCCAAAAAGCTAATGTTGGATTATATCCCCCTGCATCAATAATCCGATATTGGCATGCTGATAGAAAATTTGCTTCTGTAAGATTTTGTAACCCGTCGGCTGTAGGGGTGGAACGGTTCACAAAATCCACGGTTCGGTTCGATTCACGGTTTCTGGTCACGGTTTTCGGTTCGATTCGATACATGTTGATTGTTACACCGAAATTCCATAAAAAATTATGAAATTAATGAAAAAATCCCCCCAAAAATAATGGATTGTAATTATTTTAAATGATCCACGGAAACCCTGGATAATTTCCGCATGTTTTGCTGCTTTGAATGTAATCATCTGGCGCATGCTCTCTACCATCTCCAAAGGACTCAGAGGGGAGCGGACGAAGCCACAGTGGGGGCTGTAGGCTTTGCTTTGAGCAGCCGGTCTGGAGCGCAGCGGGGGTTGCTGACGGAGTATGAGGGATTTCGGGGTTAGCATGACATGTTGCTGTTAGCATAAACAAAACGTGTTGCACAATGCTTGCACACTGTTGCAGTTTTATCCACAACTTTCTTTCCGCCGTCATAGTGGGTCACTCTAAATGCAAAGCGCTCCCATACAGCAGACCTATAAAGTGCTGCTGGCGCGTCTTCCAACTCCTGTTCTTTCCCACTCGCCAGTCCCACACAATTCTCCACAACAACTGATTTTTTTCCCCCTGCTACACCCGGCTAAGCTGCTTCGCTGCTTCTTCTTCTTGTTTACTACTGGCGGTTGGCTTTGGTCACAGTACCGCCACCTACTGCTCTGGAGTGTAATCGCTTCCTCTATGAGAAAAAGGAGCAGCGCATGAACCGAACGAAACACATGCGAACCGAACCGAGACAGTCGAACCGAACGGTTCGGACGGTTTTCATAAATCGTCCCATCCCTAGTCGGCTGATATCACATGGATCAGTTCTCATACCTATTGCTCTCACATTTCTAACATTCTGCTGCACAAAATGAGTAATAAAAGCATGCATAGTTCATTATAATATTGTATCACTGTCAACATCTGTATCAGTCTGTTCTCAAAGCTGCAATATTGGTGTCTTATCTGAAACCTAAGTTGTAGTATTGGGACCTCCTCAATACAATATGATTCTGATATCACGTAAATATAAAAGCCTTGGAAAAACTGTAAATAAAGTCCCTGGTAGATGCCTGCACAAACCTTTTGAAATTATTTTGGCCAACTCCATACATTTTCTCCAATATAATAAATTTGTTAAAAAAGCAGCAACACTATTTTTATTTGGAGCTACAAGCTCATCAGATTAAATGCCCGTTTATTTATTTTTTTGATCTCACATTTTCCAGAATAATCCGAATATGTTTCAGAACCGTTTATACCAAAGTTCTGACACCACAAACATCTGATTTTTGTGCTCCTCAGAACAATGTGGCCATGCTGTTGGAGACGAACTACAGGGAGAGGCTACACATGGTGACCAATGAGGTAAAGAGGCGCTTGGACTATCAGATCGCTCTTCAGAACCTGCATCGCCGCATGGAGCAGGACCACATGATCAACTGGGTGGAGAAGAGCGTCATCAGCAGCATCACCCCTCAGCAGGTCAGCCCTGTTATTTATTTACTGTAGTGGCTGGGATACAAGATAAGTGAGGCTGAACTAAAATCCAGTTTATTCCCTGCGTCATTTTAGAGGAAACAATATTATGAAATCTGCTTTTAATATTTCAAGTATTTCTAGTAGATTTTGTTTGGTAAAGTGTTCCTTATTTATGTAACTGAAATCACCTAACACGCAAAAACTGAGAAACCTGCTTTAGCAGGAAGTCAGTGGATGGTTGATAAATGATTTACTGATTATTTAATGATCATTTGGTGAGGGAGGGGGGTCTTCAAAATGACAGTTTTAACTCACTTTCTTAGGAGATATCAGGAGTGATTATCTCAGTAGGTTTAGTTGTTTACAGGTGATTCCAGGAGGCTAATTTTTATTCTTTAAAAGCATTTGATATTTCATGACAAGTAAAGCACTTCTACTTTGATTTACATTTAGGTGGTGACTTTATCTTTGATTTTCCTCATCCCAGCTTGGGTTTTTGTCTGTCTAATAATTCAGGTTTTTCCTCTTATTTCTTTGTTTACTGATAGTAAAGTCAAGCCCATACATTTATGCAGCATAGTAAGAAGATGACCTTTACTGGCCTTAAGTGCTTCACATTAGTACATAACTTGGGCTACGTTCACACTGCAGGCCTTGATACTCGATTCCGATTTTTTTGTGAAATCCGATTTTTTTCACATTGCCGTTCATATTTCCAAATATATGCGACCTGTATGTGATCTCCTCTGTGAACTGCAGTCATACAACACAAGTGTCCCGCATGCGCAGTAGTGGACGCAATGACGTCACAGGTCAGCATGCTTTTTTTTCCGGAAGTAAACATGGATGGTAGTGCTGGCGCGCATCTAGCGGTCTTTTCCAACTATAAAAACACAATCTTTTCAATATGTTTTAACATAAATACTGCTCTCCGCATCATCATCTGCCATGGTTGTTGTTTTTCTTGCCGCTTCTTCATAGCAAGACGCATAATAGTGACCTTTGTCGGTTACTAATGGCGTTCAGGTCGGATGAATCCGCCGTTCAGGCACAGGTTGCATTTGAAAAGATCAGATTCGTATCGGATTCAGGACCACATAGCCAAGTGGCCTCGGTTGAATCGGTAAAAATCGATCTGGGTTGTTCAGGCTGCCATGAAAAGATCAGATCCAGGTCGCATATGGGCAAAAAAATCGGATTTGGGTCACTTCAGGCTGCAGTGTGAACGCAGCCTTAGTGGGAGATGTATTTTTTATTGCAAGCTCTAATTTCTCATCTTCTCAGTTATGGTTGCAGATTGTAACGGTTAATGTGAAGAGATGCTAAAATGGTTCACTGATGCATAATGTTGTGCTGATAATGCTCAAACTAACAGGAAACAAAGAATATGTGTGTAAATGCTGGCTTATCAAAATAAAAGCAGCATATTGAGATTCGAGTTTGAATCAAAACTAAATGCATGTTTTATTTTAAACGTTCATGCGGGCAGGATGATGTGTATAAATGGAACGGGTCCAGATTGAGATTCAAAACTAATCCTTGAGTTTTCCCATATGTCTGTGTGTGTGTGTGTGTGTGTGTGTGTGTATGTATATATATATATATGTATATATATATATATATATATATATATATATATATACATATATATATATATATATATATGTATATATATACACTATATTGCCAAAAGTATTTGCTCACCTGCCTTGACTCACATATGAGCTTAAGTGACATCCCGTTCCTAATCCATAGGGTTCAATATGACGTCGGTCCACCCTTTGCAGCTAGAACAGCTTCAACTCTTCTGGGAAGGCTGTCCACAAGGTTTAGGAGTGTGTTTATGGGAATTTTTGACCATTCTTCCAGAAGCGCATTTGTGAGGTCGCACACTGATGTTGGACGAGAAGGCCTGGCTCTCAGTCTCCGCTCTAATTCATCCCAAAGGTGTTCTATCGGGTTGAGGTCAGGACTCTGTGCAGGCCAGTCAAGTTCATCCACACCAGACTCTGTCATCCATGTCTTTATGGACCTTGCTTTGTGCACTGGTGCACAGTCATGTTGGAAGAGGAAGGGGCCAGCTCCAAACTGTTCCCACAAAGTTGGGAGCATGGAATTGTCCAAAATGTCTTGGTATGCTGAAGCATTCAGAGTTCCTTTCACTGGAACTAAGGGGCCAAGCCCAGCTCCTGAAAAACAACCTCACACCATAATCCCCCCTCCACCAAACTTTACACTTGGCACAATGCAGTCAGACAAGTACCGTTCTCCTGGCAACCGCCAAACCTAGACCCGTCCATCAGATTGCCAGATGGAGAAGCGCGATTCGTCACTCCAGAGAACGCGTCTCCACTGCTCTAGAGTCCAGTGGCGGCGTGCTTTACACCACCGCATCCGACGCTTTGCATTGCACTTGGTGATGTATGGCTTGGATGCAGCTGCTCGACCATGGAAACCCATTCCATGAAGCTCTCTGCGCACTGTTCTTGAGCTAATCTGAAGGCCACATGAAGTTTGGAGGTCTGTAGTGATTGACTCTGCAGAAAGTTGGCGACCTCTTCGCACTATGCGCGTCAGCATCCGCTGACCCCGCTCCGTCAGTTTACGTGGCCTACCTCTTCGTGGCTGAGTTGCTGTCGTTCCCAAACACTTCCATTTTCTTATAATACAGCTGACAGTTGACTGTGGAATATTTAGGAGCGAGGAAATTTCACGACTGGATTTGTTGCACAGGTGGCATCCTATCACAGTTCCACGCTGGAATTCACTGAGCTCCTGAGAGCGACCCATTCTTTCACAAATGTTTGTAAAAACAGTCTGCATGCCTAGGTGCTTGAATTTATACACCTGTGGCCATGGAAGTGATTGGAACACCTGATTCCAATAATTTGGATGGGTGAGCAAATACTTTTGGCAATATAGTGTATATATATATATATACATATATATACACACACACACACACACACACACCGTATATGTATTTTACAAACATAGCTTTAAATATTATGTATTTTTCATTACACTTCTGTCTATTTTTTTTTTTTTTTTTGCGTTAAAGCAGATCTAACCCCGGTTGCACTAAATACCAACCTAGTAACTAAATGGCCTGTTATCTTACTACTAATTCTGACCGTAGTTTTCTGTTCTGATTGTTTTAGAACATGTAGCTCATTAAACACAAAGTGAACGGGCTGTGCTCAGATAACTAGAACAGTAGTGTTTAAAAAAAGAAATCATAAAATTCAAGTCTGGAAATGAAATCAAGAATTTTAATGATATGAAACTAAAACTTTTAAGAGTTTTACCTGAAGATCTGCAGGCCTCATTGCACCTGTTGGTTTATAACAGGACAACAAGGAAAAGACTGAACCAGGGTTTTTGTTTGGCAAGGTTGCCTGGAGAAATGTCCTCCTCTCTTAGGACACAGTAAATAAACGGGTGTTTTGTTTTATTATAAAATATAGAATTTAAAGTACTGTTTGAAGTTGGACTTGGACAGATGAAAAAACACTTTTATCTTGTTTTTTTTCTTTTCTTTTCAGGAGAAGGAGAGCATTACCAAATGCATTGCAGATCTAAAGGCGCTGGCTAAGACCACCCAGGCCAAAGCAACGGCGTAAACCTCCATGACCCTGAAGAAGACTACTCAGACCCTCAGCTCATAGTTTCAAAACGAGACGTCGCATTTCTTTAGCGAAATTATTTAGGAAATAATTTCTCAGTTGTCTCTTTCAACGTTATGGGTGTGTACAGTATTTACACGTCAGATGGTAAAATAAATGATTCTCTTATTCAACCTAAAGTGCGAGCTGGTGTGTTTTCTTTTCATTTCCTGATCAAGTGTTGCGCTGTTTGCTGTATTAGCTGTTCACAGGTGTAAAGGAACTGTTTGAGCTCCATTATTGCATAAATAGGGAACAACCCTTAAGACCTTTGATATGTCTAAATGCGCCTGTATAAAGCTGCCCTTTGGAATCATGAGTCACAGTGTTCTGCTCTTCAGACTGACAAATCAGGAGCCCCCCCTGATCTGTCACACCTGTAATTGCACTTTGATCCTTGAGCTTTCGGGCGAAACTCAAGAAAATTTTCAGAGCCCTCGTCCTGTGGATCAGATGTTTGCTGCAGTGAGACGCGTCGGAGGGGACTAATCGAGAAGGAGCGATGAATCCGTAGCGAAGCTGAAACTCAAGAGGTGAGGACTGGATGGTGAATGCCATGTTTTGTCAGTAGAGGTTAAAATGGGAGAACAAATAAAGCCGTTATTGGTGGCAGACTTGCTTCCTGTTTCTAAGATTATAGATGGATTTACTTATACAGAAAATGGCTTATCGCTTAAAAGGAAAAATCATTTTAAATCTTATATTAATTCGTTATGGAGGTATCGAGTTAAAATACAGGAATTACTCTTTTTTAAAAATATTTTTGTTTTTAATTCAAACGCTTTTTAATGCATAAAAGATTAAAATTCTGAACAGTTAATTTTACGCTGGTCTGCTGTCGGCCTTTGCAGTCATAAGGAAAATTGGCTCAGTCCACATTTTCGTTAATTTAAACCCTGGAATTATAACCAACCCTGCAACTGATTAACTTAGTATTGCCCTGGCAGGGCCAGCAATCTCTGGATTTCTATTCTAAGCTTTCTTTGATACGTCTTCACTTAAGAGTTGACTAAAAAGCCTCTTAAAGGTCTTTAATTCCAGCCAAAGCAACTTAAGAAACAAGCTGCTACTTTTAAGAGAAAAAGTATTTTATTACCTGTCAGGGTCAAGCAAACTACAAGGTGCCTCTATCTCAGAATATAGTATTAGTTACAGAAATGGGTTAGGAGCAATTAAAAGTACATGGTTCAAAGAAATACAGAAATCCTTAAAAAGATTTTCAAATATCAGCAGGTTAAAATGTTCACCTGGTGTGAAGAAACACTATAAAATGTTAAAGGCTTCAATGAGATTTATGAGTTGGGGTGTGTGTAGGGAGGGGGCTGTTATTTAACCAGGCGGCGCAGAGGGTGAAACACCTTAGAGAGCTGATGACTGTAATGATCTCTCAATCTCATACCTAGATCTAAGTTATGAGATACAAAGGCAGCTGGTTCAAATGCAGTCTACTGAAAGTAGTCTGTTAATTTTACCAAAGTATCAACCTAAACTGACAAGGAATCTGTGGAGGAAACGAAAGAGTGATGGCAGAGAGGTCTTCCAACCTCCAAGACTTCATTATATAACGAGAAACACATAAATCAAAGTTGTTTTCCCAATTTATGCATATATTCTTTTAACTTGATGCTCCCTTCTCAATGTTACATTATTTTAAGAGATTTTTGTTTAGTTTCCCATCAGGAGCAGTTTAAACACACAGCAGATTCTAGCGAGAAAGAGAAATAAAGTCTAAATCTTCTGTTCTTTATACAGAGGTCACTGGTTGGAGTAAATTTCAAGTTATCCCTGCAGCAGTGAAGTTTGAACCCCAGTTGATTCATAATGTTTGGAAACAGCCGTCCTTTCTCCTACTCGGGGTAAGTTCATCCAGCAGGAATGTTTGTATGTACTAACATCCAATTACAATGATCCAGAGCTTTCCCAAACTCCTTAACCCTGCTGATAAATACCTGATGGGTCAGCTTGCATTTCTTTATGCCTCCCATCCAAGAAATCCAACCTTTCCAGCGTTTATATCTTTAGGTTTGATGGAAATCAGAGCTTTTCTTTCGATGTCCAGACTAGACTACTTTCAGAGAAATGGTTTTGAACACTTTAACCAGACCTGGATCATTCAGATATCCTACATTTAGAGGATGGACCAGTGTCGGACTGTTTTTATTTGCAGTCTTTCAATAACTTATCCCCATTCAATCTGTTCAATCTTTCATATATTACTATAGGTTTTTAGTATCCACAGTGGGGTTTATTTTCACACAGCTGAATGGGTTCTGTCTGCTCTTTCCTGCGTTGTTTTCCATTTCTTAAAGAAATGACCCTGTTTTTATAAGCTGTTAAACCTGGAAACATGTCTGCTCTTAACCTTTGGACTGTCTTCAGGTTTTAACCTGCTGTAGGATATGCTGTAGTGCTTAAATAGGAGGAAGTGCATAGAAAATGTCTGAAAAAGTGAAGATAAATCAGTTAAAACTATTAGATGACTGTAGAAATAAGTCTACCTACATGGAGGTCAAATATAAAGAAACTATTATTATTTTTGATGATATTGAGGACAAATTTTATTAAAAAAATACTAATTATTTTGTAATTTGCTCAAGCTCATCAACTGAATCACAAACACTATTTTATATTTTACCATGATCTCCTATTTTCTTCTTTATCAGGGGTTTCAACTCAGACGACTACTCCCAGAGAAGAGGCTTTAGCCAAGATGAGCCCAAAGAATCATTGTTTCAGAGAAACAGCATGTCCAGACCTAGTGGAAGATCCATATACAGTATGTCCACATAAAAGCCCACCCCTTTCTAATTATTGTCAGTTATGTTTTTTGTTGGAAAAAAAAAGTAGAATCTTTCTAGCATTCTTTTTTTTTTTTTAGTGCAGAGAAAGGAATATTCCGAGACACTCAACAGGAACTCAGAAAGCTTTCAAGTCAGAGTGGAGGTAGGATATCTGAACCTGTGTCGTGATATACTCGTTATAACCGCCTCAGTCTTAACCTCTCTTTATAAAATCCTCATCCCCCCCACAGCATTTGTTCATCTGCGATATTGATGGCCAGGAGGTGAGATCGGAGGAAGACTGTGTGGCCAAACTCAAGCGCCTTGATGGCAAAGGTCGCCTGTGGCCCCAGGAGATGTACTTAGAGATAAAAGGAGCCTATCTAGTGCTCTGTGACATCGAGACTAAGGTTGGTGATAGACAGAATAATAATTGATTGAAAACTTTGGTAAATACAAGTTAAAACTATTATAACAATGTATCAATTATCATAAATGTAAAGGCACACTACTCTGAAGTTACTTTGTCTGGAAGCATGAATGTAACCTTTTTGGGGGGGAATGGGGGGGGGGGGGGGGGGGGGGGGGGGCATGTTCCCTGCACTTTTTCAAACGTCCCTTTTGGTCCCATGCACATTTTACTGTGCAGAAACAATGTTACAGTACACAGACATTCATCGAGCACTAGGACCAAGCAGAAAACCGCAGCTCAAGTTGAAGTTTGCTTCCCTGAGTTTAGATCGTCCACAAGCTCCTGATTGGCCCACAGTCTTTTCTTGTGTGATTGGCTGTCACCGCTGTCACTCCTGAGAAGCTCACTTTACAAACATCTGATGCGCCACTAAACACGTCGAAGTTAGTTATATTAAAAAATACTTGCGTCCCCCCCACTTCTGAAATCAAAATTTCGTCCATGTCTGGAGGCTGGTCTGATGTAACATATAGAGGAAGAGCAAAATAAATCTAGAATCCAAGTTAAGGGGACATTAATAGTGTCAGCACACTAGACAAAAGCAAGCTGCTGCTAATAATATGTATTAAATTTACATATCAGCACCATGTTTGACCACCTATATAAAGCAAAGACCTTCGGGAGTTTGCTTTAAAAAAAAAAAAAACAGCTGTGACCATAGAAAAATAGATAATTTTTGTCTCTGGTACTACTTACATTGTTAATCTGAAGTCCATTATCCCATTTTATGAAAGATTGTTTTCATCAGATGAAAACATTGAATACAGCTGCAGATCTTTCCAAAGACTGTCCAAGCAGATTTACCCCAAATGCAACAAAGTGTCACCAATCATTAAAGTACAACCTGAAAACAGCAGAAAGGGATAGATAAAAAGATAGAAAAAGGAGAAACGGCTACAAAGCTGTCCCCCAGAGGTCGCATCTGTAAGTGGGCCGAGTACAGAATCCTGTGGAGCCATATGTAACCGCATTGTGTCATGGAAACATATAAAGCAGAGAATCACAATATACCTTAACCCAAACTGAAAATAGCACCTTTGATCTAATTTATGAATTTATATGTATAATTCTGCTGAGCAGAGACTGCCAAAGATTTGTCTGCGAGAATTAGGATTCCTTTATCTTCAGTGCAGACTCAATGAAGACATTAGTTAACATTAAAGGTGTACAGTTTTTTTTAAGTCTTTAAAACAGAAGCAAAATAGTTAGAAACTCAAACATTTTCACTCCAGCAATGACATGTTCGAGCTGTATTAAAGGGAAAAAATCTAATCTAGACTGAGAATCGGTTTTTATGTTTTAAAGTTCATGAAGTTTACACAATTTTAAGAAGTTTATCTTTTTTCGGGTTCGTTTTAAAGAATGTAGTTAAACTTTTTACAAGAAGTATACACATTTATTTACTGAAGACATACAATAGCCAGAGGGAACAAAAATAAATTTCGACTTAATGGGGGAAACTCAAAGTGCTGCTGCCTTTTCCCATTTTAAAGATCCACTGTACAAGTAATTTAGAAATAAGCAAAAATTTATTAAATTAAGTGTAGGTAGCCGTAATTTGAGAAGTTAAATAAGATTAGTTGCCAATGGCATGAGCTTTTTACTCTTAAAATAAGATAATCAGATAATATGCACTTGAAATAAGAGAATGCAATTGTTTTTTCTTATTTTAAATGTAAATTGTCTTGTTCCATTGAAAAAGTGTCTCGCTTACCTCCTCAATTCAAGAAAAAAAAAAGAAAAAACATGTTTAGATTTAAATTTTTTGCAGCATAAAAAATTCGATATTTATATATATATAAATATAAATATATATATATATATTTATATATATATATTAGAACACCAGTCTGTGTTTGTTTGTCTCTTTGAGTGTTTTCTGGACACTTCCCACTCTGAGGAGACCTCAGGGAGGAGCCAAACCACATTGGAGAGGCTAAATACAGCATCTCCTCTGGCCTGGGAACATAAACTCACCCCCATGATCAGACCAGTCTGCTATAAATTAAATATAAAAAGGTTGTTTTTATTTTTATCACACTGGTCTTACCATGGCAGTGAGTTTTGGTTCCCAGTGAAGCTTTTATCCGTCAGAAATACTTCTTTAATTTTCTAACTACTAATTATGGACTAAACTGGTTAAATTAATTTGTTGCCACTCATCCTGATCATGCAGGCAGAGTTGGATTCGATCCCTTTGATGGGCATCAAGAAAACCAGCGCAGTGCTGGACAGCTGTGCCTACAACTCTCTGCTGACACTAACTGTGCAGGAACCTGTCAAGCGTCTTCCTCAGGTCTTTATGTTCCAGTGTGAGGAAACAGGGGTGAGTTTTCTGGCATTTTACAAGAACCCTTTACTTTGACCCCCATCGGGGTCCAAAAACTGAAAATCAATTGTATACAACTGTTAACCGTACAGACTGTCGGGTTATAATAAAAGGAAGGTCCTTCTGTTTTATCAGGCTGATGTGATTAAGGCTGATCTGGACAAGATACTGCAGAGAGTAGGTGACATAGATCCTCGCAGAGTGACACCGGACTTTAGGTAAACAAAAACAAGTGAAAACATGAACTAGGATCCAGTTTCTGAGAAGCATCAAGCAGTGACATTAGTGTTGATGTTTCTTTTACAAATGATCTTGAAAATATCCTCAGTCGGGAGAATTCAAGAAGCTTACGACAGAATGGGCCCCGTCCCTTTCAGCAGGATTCAAACCTACCCCCTCCGGACTACGTGGGCCCTCAGAGGCAAAACAGTCAGCAAGGTAAGCTCAAAGCGAGGGGAGGGACATAAGGATCGTAGAGGATTAGAAAACAAAAACTTCAAAGAGATCCAGAGATAGGGCAGTCAGGTTGTTAGTAATGACAGCAGATACAGGATTTACACACTTCACAAATCTCCAAGATGAAACATGGTAGTGGCTGCATCATGATGTGGAGATAAGTTCCCTTTCTTCGTAGAAGCTTGGTGGAGGTTATGGAAGTGGGAGCTGTTTCTGATCTGTAGACGTCTAAAAGTGAATTAAAAACATTTTAGAAACAAAACAAAAGAAAATCGACAACAAACTTCATTTAATGTGGGTCAGCATGGAGATGTAATGAAGAACTATTGAAGGATTTCAGAAGCCAGAAAGATGCGCCCGGGTTTTCTTAGTGTGATTTAATCAATTTTATTGCCAGTGATTTTTGTAAAGAAATAAAGGGACTATATCATAAACCTGCATAGACCTACAGCAAGTTCAAAAAGCTTTTCTCACTGTAAAAATGAACATAAACCAGGCAGTATGTGGGGTTGTTTAGCACTCCTGAAATCAGTCACCACAGACACAGTATATTCCACACATCTGAAAAGACGGCATTGTTTCTTTCCTAAAATCCAGTCTTCTCCCAAAAAAAACAGTAGCTCTAAACTCACTTTGAATGATTGATAAAAAAAAAAAAAAATGAATTGTTTAATTTAAAATCACTGAGCATAATCTGGACCCTGTGCAGTTTGTGTTTTTATGTCTCACAGATGAGCAGAGTTAGAAACTTTCCCATGGTTAAATTAGCTTCTTTAAACATCTTGATCATAATTGGACGTGTCAAACTCATTTTTCTTCAATTTTTACTACAATCCAACCTCCCCTTTTAATCAAAACAATATTAGAACAAGTGATTGCGGCAACAATCTGATAGATTTGTGTTTATTTTAACTAATAAGACACCGAGCGTGAAAGTAAACTAAATCCTCTCAGACTTTAAGCATGCATAGGTGAGATTAGTCATAACTTTAGGTTAGCACAGTAAAGGAAACAAAGATATTATCATGGCGTTTAGGAGGAAACTACAAAAGAACAAAAGCATATTAATTAAAGGTCAAACCATAATATTTGTGCTCTGTCATCTATATCTGGGCACTTTCACTGATGGCAAACCAAACGGGGAAAAATGGGCTCATCAGGAAAGTTTCATTTTCATACCAACCCAACCATAATCGCCATGTTTCGTTATGCTTTTATTGAATCTCTTTTATCATTTCATTGGTGTCATGGTTCAGTCACATATCTTTAAAGATCAGGAATGCCTTAAATCAAATGTTTTAATGATCATCCACTCTGACTGGTGAGCACCACCACTCTTCATTTCTGTAGGCAGGTAAAGGAGGATTGTACCATCCAGCTTGCTTCCAGATGAGGATTCTTGTTCCCAAAATGCAAAGAACAATCTTAGAAAAACAAATTTAAATAAAATGAGATATAGAGAATTCGCACATATAGATACAAATGTATTCTTACAATCAATTAACTTTGTTTAACTACAATTCTCATTTACTAAGTTAATTTAAAAATGGCATCCTTTGAATAAAAACATTCTCTGTGCTTTTTTAACCTTGTTTTCATATAGATTACATGCCTGACCCACGTCCTTATTCTCCCCAAGAAGAGATGTCCCATTATTCAGACAATCGTGATGCAGATATGGCTTTTCAGCAGGCAGAGATAGCGAGAAGCACGGTGAGTGCTGTGAACACTCCTCATACCCATCAGTTTGTGCTAAAGGATTTTCCAAAACTTCTGAAGCTGTTTTCTAAAGATAACCGAGCTTAATACTTCTGCTGCTTACTTTACAATGCGGCAATATAACTGCAATAACTTGTACAACTTGTACAATAAACGTGCAATCACTATTTAAAACCTTGTGCAATAACCAATTTATATTTAATACACTGTGCAATAACTATATATATGAATATATATTAAATACACAATGCAAATATATATTTTTTTCGTTTATTATTTATTTTATATATATATATATATATATATATATATATATATATATATATATATATATATATATATATATATATATATATATATATATATATATATATATATATGCACCTTTTCCTCTTTTTGACTATTGAGCCAGTGTGACAAGTACATTTTTCAGTGTGAGATCAATAAAGTCTTATTTTTGTTCCTTTCCTCAGGAGATTTTTAACCACATCATAGCAGATTTGGAGTTCTTCATCGGCAAAGTGACTCAAGCTTTAAATGAGCCTCAGCAGAAATCACAGAAGAGCAAGAAGATGATTTCCATGAAGAAAAAGTCCAAATCAAATGGTAAACGTTCGTCAGAGATGGGGTGTAGATAAAAGAAAAAAGCGTAGACCCTGATGAGTTTATGATGGGACTGTGTTTCAGCTGCAGCCCCGCCGCTCAATCTGCCACACTGGCAAGAGTATGCCTCGTATCTCCAGAAAATCAAATATGGATTCAATCTGCTGGTAAATATTAGTTCAGTTTCTAGAAATTTTAGATGATTTAGAAAGAATTTGGCTGAAGGAAAATCTGTTACTGCTGTGGTGAAAATCAAAGTGGTGCTTTTTTCATTACAGGCCCAGCTGAATGGAGCTCTGAGCAACCCCAGCGCTGCTGAATACGTGCATTTCTTCTTCAATTATCTGGACCTTGTAAGATCTTCAGACTCTAGGTATTCCCACTGTTTGATATTTTTCTGTCTCGGTTGTGACAATGCATACTTAATCTCTCCACAGACATTTCGTCACTACCCCCCTGATCTTCCTTCGTCAATTGTCTCCCCTCTGCTGACTCAAGAGGCTGTGGAGATGCTCCATCAGGTGCTGAGCCCCCAGGAGCAACAACTGTGGCAGGCTCTGGGAGAGTGTTGGGCCATCCCAAGGTAGGGAAACTTTTACAAGCATCTAGTTCTTTTTTTATTTCCTAAAGCCTGTAAAAGATACAAGCAATCACGTAGGTCCTTGACCTGCCACTCCCAAACCTTGGGCGTATGCATCCGGTCAGAGTTCAAGTTGAGCTGTGACAGCAAATCCCATAATGCTTTGCATGAGATCTCTCTGCGTAAAGCATTCCAGAATATATCTGCCTCTACTCAGGCCTTACTTTTTTTCCCATACTCGCAGCCATTTTCAAAGAACCGCAGTGAGCTTTAGTGACTGTCTGAAACCGTAGCTCATCCCAGATATATGTCTGAAAGTGCCCATGTGCAGAAGAAGATAGCTAACGGGAGGAGCACATGGGACGGCCTTACATAAACATATCACCAGAATGATTGACAATTAGAAGGACCACTTATGATCCACCTGGAAATAAAAGATAGTCCTCTATACCTTCAAAGCTACAGTGTGTAATAAGTACAGGGATATACAGTCAGAAATGTAATACCGGTATATTATACATAACTATGTTATTTATCATCATCTATGAGCTCAGCCTCTTAACCTTAATATTTGCGTTGCCTTAGAATTTATTTATAATTACATAGTAGCGGGTCTCGCAGCCATGGAGGCAGACATCTTTGCGCTACGGCAGCGCAGAGCCAACAAACTAGCGATTGCGAGATCGCCAAAACGTCACAACGATGTAGAAAAAATAATGGGTATATTTATTATCTTAAGTCTACATGAAATCTATACCCTACACAGACTAATGAAATAAACAAACCTCATCACTTGAGAAGGTAGGTGATGCGGACGTCGTGGAAGACATTTTGTCCTGTAACGCTCGCCGTACTGTTGGGGGGGAGAAGCGGTGGGGGGGAGATGTTCATGTTGCTGCGGTCTGCAGTCTGGTTGTAGATCTCGCTAAAAGTTACACACTGTAGCTTTAACTAAAGCAACTAAAAGCTGGAGAGCTAGTGTCCTTGGTTCTTTGCCGCCTCCTGGAAGCATTCTTGGGGTATTATGGGTAGGTTTATCCATCCTCCATGTTTTCTCCATTTGTGGACTAAATCAGGTCCTGCAGCATTAATAATTCACAGTCGCTTACTAGAAAAATAAAAGTCAATGACTGTTTCATCACTCATCTCTTCTTAAACAGGGAGATGATGTTTTGCTTTTTGAGATCTTTCAGCCTACTTCATGTTGTCAGACAGGTTCCAGTGGCGTTGGCTTGAGGGAGTGAATTTAATCCAGCTTTCCAAAAATGCAATTTATACTAGTTTCTTTTAGGTTGGGTGGTTTGATATGTATTATTCCTTTAAATAGATCAAATCATTTAACAACTACGTTTTATTTTTTTACGCAGGCTATTTTAGTCTAATAATAACATTTATTTGATCAGAAATACCGGGATTATGCATGCAAAACTCAAAATATATTTATTAATATCCCTAAGGAAAAAATATTCTCTGTAACCAAGGAAGAGCTGAACCATTCACGTCTCAGGTCCCATAAAAAATAATAAGCCAATAAAGGGGACAATAAATGTAAAATTAAAATGGTATAAAGTTCCGATAAAAATAAGGGTTACTTAATAGCAGTGTCCTTTCAGCACTAGTAGTTTAAACACAGTATCATATTAAACAGTGCAAATGAACATGATGTTAATAATAATGACCTGTTTCTCTGACATATACGCCATAGGCTTGGTATAAACTTTTGAATACAGCAAACTTTTCCACTGAATCTTTGAAATATCAGCTTCTTCCTACAGTATAACTTTATGTTAACATATCTAACAATTTCTTATAATGTCTTGTGGAAGGCTTTACTAATCCTATTCCAGTTTTCCAATTGATTTTTTTCCTTGAGTTTCGGCTAAAAAGCCTTCTTTCTTCTTCCAGGTCTGAATGGCCGGATAATAATGTCCCCCCTTACATCCCGGATTTTTATGATGGCTGGCAGCTCCCCGCACCCCTTCACCCACCTCCTGCACCTCGTCAGAACCATCCATTGAGCAGAAACAACAGCCAGCGCTTTCCACCGGGCGGACCGGGAGATCCAATGGGCAACGGCCAGGGCTTCTCACCCAGAGCTGTGCTGCGACGGCCTGAGGAGGTTAGGGCTTATCTAATCACAAAGGGAAAACATGTCAGCAATCACAGGGTGTCGACCGCTTCAACAACAGATCCAGTTGTGCTTTAGAACATCTGATTCACCTCTTTCCAGACCGCTATAAAACTCCCTACAGTATGTTTTTACATAAGAGTACGACCCTTTAATCATTTAAGGTTTTAGTTATTTCTTTTAACTTTTTACTCAATCACAGCTACGGTTTCCCCCACCTGTTACATGATCCTGCACTGTTTGAGGAGGCAATGGAAATGTCTTTCGTTCTTATTGTCTTGTACTTTGTGCCTTTTATAGCCCATGTCCAATGGTCCAATAAGCTCCCCTCCACCTCGGCGGTGAGTTTTATCAGCAGCAGTGTTGCATGCAGCCAACATTTCCTCCCTTCTCGCCCTGTTTTTTTCTCATCTCACTAATGTGTTGTTTTCCATGGTTTCAGCCCGACCGAGCCTCCGCTCTACATGCGTGTCATGTACAACTTCTCAGCAAGGAACAGCCAGGAGCTGTCTGTGATGCAGGGAGAAATGGTTCAGGTATGAAAAAAACAACTTGATCTGTTGACATTTTGTTGCACATATTTTTACTTTTGCTATTACTTTAGTTATAGGATGGATTATATGTTCTTTATACCTAGCAGAGGTATTTGTTTTTGCCTCTAGAAGAGACCCTTAGTTGCTGTTAAGAAACTGCAGACATCTGCAGCTGAAAGAATCCAATTAAGAACCTAATGGAAGTGTCCCAAAGTTAAATTCTTTCCCCTTAATCAATCTTAGCTTTTATTCTTACAATGGATCACAGCTAAAAGGGTATAAGTCTAAGGTTCTTATTTCCTCACTTACAGGTGATTCAGAAATCTCGTCCATGGTGGGTTGTTCGAAACAATCGCAACGAGGAAGGTAGCATTCCTCCGAACATTTTGGAGCCAATTGATAATGAGCCATCCATGGACGACCAGGAGGTGAGCCAAACGCTACGGAGGAATAAAACGAACACATTTCACACATGAGAGCTTATTCTCCTCACTTTGCTTCACAGTGGGACTCACGCGGCCACGTAACCCTCAACTACAACTCCAGCCCAGCAGATGTGAAGGCATGGCTCGAGTACAAAGGTTTCTCTAAAATGTAAGGATTGATTTCTCTGACTTTAAAATATTTATTACGTCAGTAAGATTTTTTGTTGTTTTGTTTTTTTTTTTTATAAAAAAAACCCCCACCCGACTAGAATCTTTGTTTTCCCACTTCTCTTGCACAGCACGGTCTCCAGCCTTGGTGTCCTGACTGGAAGACTGCTTCTGGGGATGTCCAAAGAGGAGATCAGGACGGTGTGCCCAGAAGAAGCTGGAAAAGTCGCATTCCAACTTCAATCTGTGAAGTCATCCCTTGCAGTAAGTTATGTTTGCTCATCTAAAGAAAGGCGAATAGCTATGTTTGTAGAGCTAACAGTGCTTTAGCTCACTGTAATAACCCTGGGAAAAGGGAAAGCCATGCAGTTTAATAGCGATGTGCACTGATTGGCTCTGTTTGGTCAGTTTTATTGCTCACTATTTAATATCAGTTTTAGGCTTTAAAACAGTCTAAATCTGTACATATACCTGTAAAAGGAAGATAGGGGAAAAAGCTAATAATTTATTGCGCATCTCTAACCAAACAAACTGCAAAAAAATAGAAAATCTTTCCTACCGAGGAGCTATCATAATTTCTGTAGAAACACATTATTAATCCACATTAACAAGAAGATAATGTTATAGATTTATGCCAGCCATGCATTCAAACTAAAGCTATATTTAAGTTTTAAGCATTACTGAGAGAAAGATTCAAAAGAATCAACCGGAGCTAAAGATTAGTTGGCGGTGAGGCCCTCAAACCGCATAGAGTTTAAGCTCACTAAATGTAAGAATAACAGTGGAAACATGTATAATGTGGTTGCAATGGATGGTGAAAAACAAAGGAAACTTTACCAGCTGTAACAATTATGGCTATATCGCCACAGAAATGTTTTTTGTTTGTATAACTCAATGTATTGTTTATGCTCATCAAAATACGTTAATTAACTTACAGGTAATGAATATCATTGTGATAACATTAATATAAGTTTCTTTTAAGGAATGAATTCATAATTATTTCAAAGAGTTGGACAATCACTGCTGGTAGTCAGAGCTTCGAAATGAGAGAAAAATATTTAACCGTAGCTTTCTCAGATAAAACATAAATGAGTTAAGTTAGGAAGACCTGATGATCCCCGGCTCAACATTATTCAGGTTTTTCTCCAACTGTGATCTCTTAACATTTCTCCACCTCTCTAAACATCCCTCTCACCATCTGTGGCGGCTTGAGAAAAAGACTCCTGATCCAGCTAATCCACCAGGTTGTCAAAACAAGTACACTTTTATTTGACTTCATATTTTCCGCCAGGGAAACAGAAATAACCATCAATAATTTCACTCAAAGTGTTTAAATTGTGGACTTTTCTCTTTTGAAATAAAAAAGAATAATGCTAGAAGTTAGACACTACTATGAGAAAACGCTGCAAGAATGAGTATTTGTAACTTCAGCAAGATTGCCAAATAAATTGACTAGCATTTTATATTATTTATGAAACAAGAGCCTTCTAATATGGATTAGCCTATCTGCACATGCAAAATATACCTTAAACAGTCTCATATATTTCTATTAAAGTGTTGAGAAATCGTATTTTGTCAGAACTGTAAAAGGAAAACTGTAAGCTCCCCAGTAGAGAGAAAAACTCTTTTTCCTTTAACCCCTCTGGTTCTATCAGATAACATCCCAGCATGTATAAAACATGTGTGCATCATTAATACGTGTGTTTTTGTCTTGCAGCTCTCAGATGAGCCCTCACAGATGTACAACAGCCGCTACTGACAACAGTGACGACTGGGATTCTGAAACAGCAGGACTCCATGGCAGTTCTGACTCCTCGATCATCCGTTCTCACTCTCAGCATCTACTGACACTCATCCTATTCAGTTTATTTTTATTTTAGAAAGTTTAGACTAGAGAACAACCGATATGTGCTGAGATCCCAGATATGTGCAGCTGATATTTTTGGCCCGGTTCTTGGAGCCAATATTTTTAGTTTTTTTTTTTTTTAGATTATTAAAAATTACAAAATGATAACAAATGATGCACAGGTCTCAATTTAAACTACATTAACTAATATACACTTACAAACATTTTCAACATTTTGAGATTTATGTAATATTATTACAAAAATTCCCATTTACTTTGTTTATTTCGATAATTTTCCACACAAACCTGTTAAATAAACCTTATTTTTTTATTTGATATAGCTTATTTATTTAATTGTCAAGTTTTTCTATTTAGAATTAAGAAAGTATACTTATTCAAAATGAATACTAATTAGCGTATTAATTTCAAAAACCAAAAGTTTATTCGTTTGAATTGCATAATAATCAGGTTACCTTTATGCAATTCAAACACCACACTTTATGTAATTGAAATACTCAATATATAAACCTGATTATTATGTATTTCAAATAAATAAGCTTTATTATATAGATGAATATGAATCATTGAAGGTTTATTTAACTGGTTTGTGTTGAAAGGAAATAAGAAAGTAAATGGGAATTTGTTTTGTAATAAATTTAAATATTTAACTTTGAGTAAAATATAGCAAAACATATTAACAACGGAGATCAAATGGAGGGATGGCATTGTGCGCTTCACATGATCTGAGGCTATGGCTGCTGAATGTAAGAAATGACTGGTGAACGCATGCATGTATCGTACATGCAATACCCGTATATGCAAACAAACTTATATCTCCCCAGAATATCGGTATGTATCTCTAGTTTGTTCTGATTTTGTATAGCATATGAATAGCAGTAATCAGTGTGGATGTAATCCATTTTCATTTTATGTGTTAATCACAGCTAAGCTTTGTTTTCAGCCAATCAGCACCTTTAAATATATTCAGTCATCCATCTACATGTATAAATATTTTCAAAGAATTGGGACATACTCTTGCATTAAAAAGTGATTGTGTGTTTCTGTAAAGAATGATTGTCAATGTGAATCATTGTAAAAAAAAGTTTGACGTTTAAAGAATGAAATCAGACTGTAGAGGGATTTGGTTTATTCTGTCAATAATAAAACATGAGTTACAAAACTGACAAGTGCTTTGACTGAAATTAAAGTTTTCATTTGCACATCTTCATACACAGCTGCATAAAGGGATTTTTTTCCAATGACACTATTAATAAACTAACTTTGGACTCTGATATTTCTGACATACACCCTTCATGAACTGCAAAAAAGGATTTAACATTTCGCCAATTAGTTGTACTAATTGAAAGCACTTTGCATTTCTAAGTGTGCGTTTCGTCCTCATTCCTTCTTGTTTCCCCATTTGGCCATCTTGTTGTTGACAGGAGTCTTGATGAATCTGTTGGACTTCATGTAAGCAGCAATTTTCTCCAGAGCCTATGACAATAAGATGAATGATAAGCTGAGGGGGACAGGAAGGGGTTCCTGGTGCTGCTAAAGTATTTAGTCATATCAGGGCAATCACACTGGGCCACTAAGCAGTCCTATTGATGATGGAAATCTACTTAAATCATGGTGATTATTTTACTTAAAAAGAGTGGAAAGTTCTTTACTTAACAGACATCAGGAGGGATCTCACCTCAAAACGATCCATAAGATCTTTAAGGTTCTTGAAGCCATCCAAGCATGAAGGATGAAACATCCTGTGTTGATCCAGCAGCTCATACATGATGAAGTCCACAAAGGTGATCTATTACAAGTGGGAGTTATTATTAACAAACACCTTTTTCTTTCTTTTGAAGCACCTCTAAAATCAAAATCAGGAATTTTTTAGAAATATACAAAAATTCAATTCCTAATGAGTATACCATCTTGTTCATTTACTAAACTCTGGTATTCCGCTTAAATGCCAGATCAGCAAATGTAAAATGACCATAACTGAATATATTATTATATTATTATATAATATATATATATATTATTAGTACCTTTCTATGTAAAAATATAATAGCTTTCCCAGATATCAATTCTCAGACCTCTTTATCTTTTAACTTGTTTTTAACAAAAGATTTAACCAATAATTAGTTGAGTTTCCATGTGAGAACTGTAAGAATGAGACGCTGTAAAGAAATAAAGGAGAACATTTTCAAACAGAGACATAAGGAAAGAGGGGCAGATCGAACAAAATGAGAATCTCTTAAAGGAAGGAGGGAATGGCAAGAGAAGAAGGAAAGGAGGAACATAGAGGAGGCTAGTAGCAGGGCATGAGGAAAAAAATCAAAGCATTAAAAAAAAACAGAGAAAAGAGGCAGAGAGAAGGGAGTGGATGAGCAAGAAAGGGAGGAAATAAGGGAGAAGGGAATGTGATGTTTAGACAGTAAAAAAGGATGAAACTCTGAAAATACAGTTTTCCATGCTCCTATTTTATTTTTCCTATATCCAGCCTTTCATTAAATCATTGTAGCTGCAGAAGCAACCCATTATAGAGCCACAGGAAAAGGTTTCAGTGTCACTCTTTACTCTTCTATAGTAAATCTAGAAAGATTAGATGATTAGATTAGGTAGAAATTTTTTTTTTAAAAGGCTTCTGCAGAAAATAATGTCTAAAATTAACATTAATTGCATTTTCTCCCCCCTTTTAAATCCTCAACCTGTGCCTACTTCATAAATAATCACAATTATAGAAGTGTTCATTTTTCTTCCGAAATTATGTATATTATCCAGAAATAAACAACCATTCATGAAGGTATATATATATATATATATATATATATATATATATATATATATATATATATATATATATATATATATATATATATATATATATATATATATATATATATATATACAGATTTCAGTGCAGAATGAAATGAGGGAAAGTAAAATTAAAAGTACTCCATTCCTCTGTATACGTAAATCTATACCGCCCCCTGCTGGTGGTGTATAAGATGTGAAATGAAGCCCAAAGGAAATAAACCAGGTGTAGCTTTGTCATTTCACAGGCTGTTTTGATGCTGAATTCCTCAAAAATGAGATTATGGCTCAGTTATTATAACCACATTTTTTCAATATATTTAAATCAATAATATAACTAAACAATCCGCAATGGTGCTGAGATGAAGGGTAGCTATAAAACATCAATCAGCAAAAGATTCCAGAAGTAGTATATTATTTGTGGATCATAATTGAGTTTATTATTCAACTTTCAATATAAACTAACTCTTTTTTTTTTTTTTTACAAATAAAGGACCCATAAATAAGCTCATAACATTTTTATATTAAATTAATTATATCGTGACCTGCCAGATTTATTGGAGTTACAGCTGCTGAGAGTGCACTTTAAAACAATGACTAATCACATCATGAGTTGTCCTACCTTATCACCAGCAAACCACTTCCTGTCTCCTAGAAAGTCAGAGAACTTCTTCAGTGTACCTGGCAGCGACTTCAGGTACTCTGGCTTTTTGTTGTCCTGATTTTAGGGACAGTATTTCACATTAGAGCACACTCATTTGAAATGTGCAAACTTTTTTTTTGTAAGTCATCTACGTACAAAGTCAGTGTAGCACATAATCACAAAGCCGTTTCTCAAGTCCATGGCCTGGCTTTCCAGCACATCCACTCTGACCTTTTCATCCCCCGTCTCTCCACCTGTTATCATCCCAGTTAACAAACAGAACAATTGATGCTACAGAAGCATTTAAATCAGGGGGGAAAAAGTGATGGTTTATAGATCACAGATCACATTACTCACACAGATTGTGCTTACGAGCGATGTATCTCATAATGGCGTTGCTCTGCGTTATCTTCCGGCCTCCATCTACCAGGTAGGGAAGCTGTGGTGCAGTTTAAGCACAAAACTAACATCAACTAAGCCCAAATATATGACCTAATATATGATCAGACTGGGCCAGTAAGCAGTCCTGACATAAAAATATGTCTTACGTTGGGGAAGTCAATTCCAAGTTTTTCCTTTTCACCAAACCAGCAGCTTTTGTCATAGTTTGGGGCTATAAGAGAGAAATGAGGCTGACTGTGGGACTGATTAAAGGTACTGTATTCACTTTTGTGTATCTTTTAGATGAAAAAGTTAATCACCTTCACCACAGACGTAAAACTTGTCCTCATACTTGGTGCCGGTGTACTCCAGAAGGAGGCGAATGGGCTGGGCAAGCTGCAACAATTCAGAAAGGTTTTTTTTCATTGTCAGGCTTTGATACATATAGTGATATAAGTACATTTGCTTATATTTATTGATATTTATTACAAAAACAGATTACAAAAAAAAAAAAAAACCTGCTCATACATGTCTTTCTATGTTATTATTGCATTATCTCACCAATATTCTTTGTTAAACACTTTTTTTAAATGAAAACCCTACATCAGCAGAATGCATTGGCAAAGGAAAAACATCTACAATTACCAAAGATGAAAATAAATTTACAACTTCCAAAGTTTACACAAATGTAAATGGACAGTGGGTAACACGTGGCATTTTTTATTAGCAAAAAGAAAGTGTTTCTTTCTTCATTATATATCTAGTTAAAGTCTAATAACATCAAATCAAAAATAAAAGTTGTCTCACAGCTTAGGGTTAGTAGTTTACATATACGTAGGGATTTCAGAGGGATTTTGAAGTTTTTTTTTCCAAGCTATTAAGCTACAGTTATCAGCTGATGTTATTCTTCACATGTCATTCCAGCTAATGGGCATAAGCTTCTTTTTGGTCTGTTTTTAGAGAAAAATTTCCACGTATTTTAGCTGATTTTATAAAGGGTTTGTAGTAGTTCTTGGTTCTTGATTGATAGGGAGGCACCAGTGTGCCATATGTACTTAATTTAATGAATTTATACAGTTAAATCTTACGCACTGTCCCTTTAAGGGAAAAAGCCTTACTTGTTCAGTGATTTAAAAGGTACTCATTTTTCATGGAAGGTCATTTCCGCATTATTTTAACTTTTGTTGAAATTAGGATTAGCTTTAAAGATAGCAAAAAATAAATTAGTCCTTATATAAACAATCAAGGGATCGTTGTTTGAGTTGTAGCCTTTGATCAACACATATTCTGCAAATAGGTGTTTAGCTGATGACAAA